AAACACATTGTGAAAGGCAGGAGGAGCACCTCCACCCCCAGCCCAGCACAGGTAACCTCGAGGCCGTTTGGGATTGCTCATCCCCACATCCCAGAGGAAGGATGTGGGAGGGAAGGATGTGGGAGGGAAGGATGTGGAAGGGAAGGATGTGGAAGGGAAGGATGTGGAGGGATGTTCTCTCTGCAGCTGTACCCAGCCTGGTGCTCTCCAGAAACATTTCCAGCCCTCCCTCAGCCAGGAGCTCTTGCACGGTGTCACTTTCATCCCTCACATGCTCAAATCCAACACGACTCCACCTCTCACGGTCACAGTTTCCCCAGAGCCTCCTCTCCACTGCAACAGGGGAGCCAGCCCGGCCCTGGGGCGATGTTAAAAATAGGGAGACCACAGAGTGAGAGCTGCCACTGAATCCTGCAAAGGGAGAACCCGATCCTGCTCCCTCCAGCTCGCGGTCTTTACTTTCATTACCTTCTTTACTCCTGCCAAGATAGAAAGGGAGAGAGGAATTGCTTTCTAACCAAGGCTGGTGCATGGGAATGATACAAAGAATTGTTGTTCCCCTGTCCTTGAGAGCTCCTTCCCTGCTTTAGGGTGGGCAGCAGGGTCTCTGCAGCAATGGTGCCTGCAGAGGCATTTTCCTGCTGGGCAAAAACTGGCCAAAAAAAAAAAAATCTGAAGCAAGATCATGGCTGTCCCTAGATCATGGCTGTCCCTGTGCTAAGCTCCAGCACAAAAATTGGAGAAATAGCTCACACAAGGCAGTGGCTGGTCCAGAGAACCACAGCCCAAGGGGGCTGAGAATTAGGGCAGCAGCCACCCCAGAGTGCAGCAGCCCAGGGCCCAAAGCTGGCACAGAAAGCCAACAAACACCACAGGAGATCCTCAACACTCTCCAGCTGAGGGTGGAACCCTTGGGAGAAGCATCTCCTTGCAGGCATGGCAGGATTGCAGCCACACAAAACCTGGGACACTCCAAGAACAACAGACACTCCAGGAATGACAGAGAGGTGATAGCACAGGACAGGCGTGGCCAGGGACGGCCACACAAACCCAGACGTGCCACAGAGAGCTGGCAGCCCTGTTGGGACAGCAGTGACAGTGTGGAAAGGCTGGCTTGGCTGATGGGAATCCTGCTGACAGCCACAGGAGCAAGGAGGATTTTGTGGTGCTGGAGCACAGAAACACCCAGCTGGACAAGTACAACATCCCCACTCCTTCCTTTATGGATGAACTCCCGTGCCTGGAACCACAGGTAACATTTCTGCAACACAAACCTGGACCCAACAGTGCTGAAAATGTAAATAAATTGCAGGAAGAGAGGCAGGAGCAAGAAAAGCAAGTGCTGTTGTTGGGAAGGGAGAGGAGTTACAGCATGAAGGTGGATGGGTAACCTTGGGAATCAAAGAGCAAAAATACCCCCATTAACTACTCATGGAAGGGAGAACTCAGTGCCCAGAGAGACACAAGAAACAGAGCTGCAAGCAAAGACAGGGAGCAAGTTATTGCTCTGTTTTAGGAGCATTTTCCCTTGGGACACCATCCCAAACTGCACCTCACTCACCCCTGGAGCAAGGTGGTCCCACTCCAGTCACAGATGCACTGACTTGAGACTGGTCTTGAAT